GGTTGGTTATGCTTGTTTCTGTAGTTCCTGTTCGTTTAGTCAGGATTTCTATTTCTAGCATTCCCTCAGCATGTGTTTTCTTTATTGTCTCAAATTCATTTTTCAGATCTTGGAATGTTTCTTTCAAAATTGCTTTTTTCTTGGCTTTCTTTGATTTCTTCCCATCTTTTGTTTGTTTTTTCTTCTATTTCTTTAAGGGAGTTTTTTATTTCCTCTTTAATGCAGTTTTTCAATTCCTCTTTAAGGGAATTTTTTATTTCCTCCTTAAGGGAATATTTTATTTCTTCTTTAAGGGCCTCTATCATCTTCTTAAAGTATTTTTTTGGGTTGATTTCTTCTGTTTCTTCTGTCTTGGTATGTTCAGGTCTTGCAGGTGTAGAATCACTAGGTTCTGATGTTGCCATATAGGTCTTTATGTTGTTGCCTGTATTTTTGCACTGGCGTCTGCTCATCTCTTCCTCTGATCAGTGCAGGTGGTGTCTGTGTCTGAGAGTGCCTCCCTTGTTCTAATTTTTAGTCTTGGTTCAGTAGGAGTTCTTGGTTAAATTGGTGCTATTGGGCTGTTTCTTCATGGCCAGCTGATCTCAGTCGGTGAAGTATATACTTATGATTCTGGTGATCAGCCTTGGTGGCTGGGCAGCACCTTCTTCTGTGTTCCCAGGTCACATTTTGTTTATTTGTCAACTCCTCAGCTGATCTTGTTTCTTCAGACTTCAAACTGTAGGGATCTGAATCCTCTCCCGGATGGATTTCAGCTGAGCGGGGTAGTCTCACCAACACCTCCAAGTTGTTGGGTTTTGCAGGATCAGCAGCTGGGCCCTGGGTTGTCCTCAGACAGAGTGTTCAGATTCGTTCTGGTTCTGTCCCACGGAGATAGCTTATTCCCTGGGTGTTAGGGTTAGAGGCGTGCTTGTTCCAAGCTTTTGATTAAGAGTTTGTTTTCACTAGCTCTTCAGAGGGTAATAGCTCTGTTTCTGGTCTTTATTGCGACTGTGTTTCGGCCGTCACCTGCTGTGCCTGCCTGCCTCCACTCCGGGCCTGCCTACCTCTGCCGGGTCAGTCTACCTCTGTGGGCTGCCATCGGTCCTGTATGTCTCTGCCGGCTGCTACCCCCAGCCTACCTGCCTCTGCTTGTCACCGCTGCGGTGCCTGTCTACCTCTGGGGGCCGCCACTGGGCCTGTATGTCTCTGCTGGCTGCTGCCACGGGCCTACCTGTCTCTGCTTGTCGCTGCTGCCGGGCCTGTCTATTTCTGCGGGCTGCCACCAGGCCTTTATGTCTCTGTTGGCTGCTGCCGCTGGGCTCGTCTACCTCTGCGGGCCATTGCCGCTGTATGTCTCTGCTGGCTGCCGCTGGGCCTGTATGACCCTGTCGGCCGCCGCTGCTGGGCCCGTCTAACTCTTCGGGCTGCCACCGGGCCTGTATTTCCTGTCACCTCTTCTTTATTGTTGGGTACAGAGGACAGCCTTACCACCAATGATACAGGACCACCACAGAACCAGAGTCCAGAGACCATCAAGTAAGAAACTGTAACAGCTAAAGGTATTTACACCCCCAGACCCAAAAGTGTCTGGGCGCTATAAAAAAGACTTTAATATAAACATCTATTACCGTGAGATGCTTTTCACAATTGATCACCTGTCTCCTGGATGCCAAACAAATAAATAAAACAGGTGCTTTAAAATAATCTGTCTCTGATAAAGCTTAACATGTTTCAAAATCCATAGGGATAGGCCAGATCTACCTCAGATAAATGTCAACATGAAATAATAATGATTCTTTTCTCTCTCTAAGCTTTTTTTCTGTGTCACCAGCATCTTGTCAAACAAAAAGTTCCCAGCCACAGCCAAGAGGGATACATGTCTCCAGAGCAAATGGATGACAGACAGCATTCCACAACACTTGTCTACCGTGGAAAACTCCCCATCTCCATCCCCCCCCCCAGAGCCAACCGATGTCCAAAATCAGCTGGAAGCAGTTTTTGAGAGGAATGATGCCCCTATTCCCATCTACCTGCTTTTTTTATAATAAGCAAAAGTCTGGGATGTAAGGATTCAGTGCACCAAGGGTTCAAGCAGCAGCTGTAGTTCCATCCACCAATGACAAAAATCCAAATAAAATGTCTGCATACATTCCTAACCAGTCATCATCACAGTTAGATGAGTACCCTGTTTATATCCAGGCATGTTATGGCCCCTGACTAGCCCAGCTTCAATCACAACCCTCAATCAGTCACATGAGTAAACCCTAGCCAGACTCATGTGCTGCTCTCATCCCCACCTGGAGAATTTTTTTTGTTGCTTTTTTTTTGAGGTAGGTTCTCATGTAGCCCAGACTGGCTTCAATCTCCCCAATGTGGCCAAGGATGACTTTGAACTCCTAATCTTCCTATCTCCATCTCCTAAGTGCCCAAGTGTCAGGCACAGAGTAGGCTGTAATTTCTACAGTGCCCCTAAACCAACAGTAAGCAGTAGCTCCTGGCCAATCCCCACTTGCTCCCTGGTTCTGCAAGTAGTTCCTTGGACATATGGCTGTGCCCTTAGAAACACTGCCCCATGCTCCCATTAAAAACACTTGAATCATATCCTTTCTGACAGAGACACCTTGATGGTTAGTTTTCATTGCCAACCTGACACAATCTAGGATCACCTGGGAAGTGAGGGGTTGTCTGGATCAGGCTGGACTGTGGGCATGTCTGTGAGAGGGTTGTCTTGATTGCTCCGGGGGAGGCCTTGCAGCTCCTTCCCTGATGCCAGAATTCCAAACTCCAAGTCCCAGCTGGGCCCTACGTTTGCTCCTTGGCAGTGCATTGGTCCTTCCTTCAGGTGGCTTCCCAGCATCTGGTACATAAACCTGTTATTGAAACAGTCAGAGGTCAGGCCACTTGACATTTGATGTATTTGCTTAGAGGTCAGAGAGAGATGCAGGATCTTGAAACAATGTATACAGTACAAGCAGGATTTGTTTAATAGGGGAGAGTCACATTCATCACACATGGGAAATTAATGGCACATCTGCTGGACTGCCTTCAACACCCAGCCATCTCAATGGGCCTGTGCTCCTGCATGCTGGGGAGGTGCTGGGCCCTTTCCAGGACATAACAGAGTGCATCAAGAAGCAATATGAGACACTGGACACAGCCTTGGGCACCACTCAACATGAGCTACCCATGCAGGCCATCCACATGCAGGAAAGTGGACAGGAGCTCCTAGGGAGGAACAGCCTTGCTGTGTGGCAATGCTACAGCAGGAAGAGTACCAAGGCTCACATGCACCATATTCTAGGTGCCTCCTCCCTGGGGTGGTGAAAAACCTGGGTCATGCCCAGTGTGGGTAGAGCACAGGCAACTGAGTCAGGGATTCCAACCCCAAGGTGCCAACCTCACAGATGGAAGAGTCTGGAGGCAGAGTGGAATGGTGTGGGAGGACCTCCCTACTGGCCCTGAGTCCTGGGCCCTAACCAACTGGGTGGAGATATTGGAGAGATCACTGATGGACCACTTAACAGTGCACTTTGGAGATTCTCTGGAGCAAATGTCCTCATGGGGGACTTTTTAGCTGCACATGGTTTGTTCAGCCTGGGCTACTTAAAAAACAAGGTACAGTGGCCTATACCTATTGTCTGACACGTGGGAGGCTATTAGTTCCAGGACAGCCTGAGCTACAGAGTGAGACCCTAGCTCCAAAAAATGGCACAGTGTTGGCCTGGAACCTGTCATATTCATCCTCCTACCAAACTGCCCACAGCTGCCATGCTGTACCCAGCACAAACCTGCACACTGACTAAGAGGTGAGAAAAGAGCAGCAACCTATACACACTGCAAACCCTGCAGGGAGCAGGTGCTTTAACCTTCTTGGCCCAGGCTTGGTTGCATGTGGCGCAGGCCTGTGCCAGGGACACTTGTAGCTGTCAGAGCACCATAACTTCTTGCAGATGCTGCAAATCTCATGTGTTTGTACCTGGAGGCCAGGAAGTGCTGGTCCACCTCAGGCAGGTGCATCTTGCTTCTCAGCTCAAAGTAAGACAGAGGGTAAGTTAGCTTAGCAGCAGCTAGCACTATGAAGCCTATGCTCCCTTGTTCCACAGGGAACCTTCATGGGCAACTGTCATACAGGGGTAACACCTGTGCACTCAGCACTAGGATTTCCCTCACCACCATCCCTTTGGCACTCATACTCACCAGGAAAATGTGGGATCTGTTGGGATTCCTCTCTTTGCCCACATTCCCTTAGTGTGAGAGAAGAGCCAAGTCCACACAGCACAAACAGCTGTTGTTTTGGAAATCAGAGTCCTACTAACAACCTGTGTCTCCACAGGTGATCTGAAGCCCAGCCCTGAGGATCACCCTGCACCCTGGGGTGAGCTGAGCATCTGCTTCCTGGACACCAGTGCACAGTTGCCATACCTGATGGAGGAGCTTGGGACTTGACCACCAAAGACCTTGGAGCTCCATGGATGTGGTGTGCACCTTCTCTTGTACCCTCCTCTCTCACATCCTTTCTTTCTCTTCAGTTGGGTTGCTGGGGAAGAAAACACACCCTGGTTGTATCTCAGGTGTAGGCTGGTTCTGTATGGACAGCCAGCTTTGGGGGCTCTGTTGTTGAGTGCCTTACAACCACCACTCTGCCAAAGTGGCCAGGTGGTGTCACTGCTTCCCTAGTGACTGGCAGTCCCTGTTTAGCTTTTATCTCTGAGTTCTGAGATATTGGGGCCATGGGTACAATGGAGACATAGATTTATACTGTGTCAAGGTCCAACAGAGTAGGATTAGGGACAACAGCGATCTGAGAGGAGCACAGGCAGGGGAAGGTATCCCACACTCACTGTCATGCCCTAGACTGCAGCGCTCAGTCACCAGGGGACAGAGGGAACCTTTCCTGAACCAGACAGTTCTCAACACATGTTAAATGTCATTCAGAATACAGTCTCAGTAGGATGTTTTGGATTTTGTATTTGTTTGCCTGTTAGGTTTTGTTTTGTTTGTAGACATCATTTCTCTGTGGATCAACCCTGTCCATACTGAAATTTACTCTGTAGACCAGTCTGGCCTTGAATTCAGAGATTCACTTGATTCTGGCTCAAACTGCTGGGATTAAGGGTGTGTGTCACAACTGCCTGGCCAGCTTTTGGGTTCCTTGAGTAATTTTCTTTTATGTGTTTTTCTGACACTAGGTCTCACTATGTAACCCAATGTGACTTTGAACTGGCAGCAATCCTCCTACCTCAGCTTACAGAGGTTTAGAATGGTAGGCATGCACCACCACACCCAGGTCTTATGTGTTGGAATTTATAAAAAAAGTATTTATTTTTATGTGTTTGGGCACACACATACCAGGGCATGAGTGTGGAAATCAGAAGACAGCTTTGGGAAACTGTTCTCTCTTTCCACTATGTGGGTCCAAGGGATCAAACTGAGGTCATCAGACAGATTTGGCAGCAATCACTAAGCCTTTTTGGCCATCCCCCCCAAAAAATCTTGCTCCATCTGCTCTCACAATGCTAAATGCATTCAAGGGATGCCAAAATGACTTTGCAGGGACTGTGAAGCACAGCACACCCAGATCAGTCCCACAGGCTTGTTCAGCCATTACTCACATGGAGCAGAGGATGAGGATGTCTCTCTTGTGCTTGTGACCACTGTTTGGCCAGCAGTTTCTCCTGTTAGTATCCTAAGTAGCAGAGATAGGCCAGGAGTCTGAGACCAATGTGGACAGCATAGTGAGACCCTGTCTCATACAGGGACATTATTGTGTGGAACAGAAATGGGGCTGAGGGAAATTTCATGGCAACATAGGGTGGGAGTGTTTCTTAATGACTTTCTCTCAATTTTGACTGATTTAAGATGACTCCTGGGTTCCTGCTGCAAAGCACCCGTGGAGACTCTGAGCATCAAAGCTGCTGTAGCCAGTAATCACCAGCCCTCTGCTGTAATGTCCAGTACCTTGAATGTGCTACGAGTTAGAGCACAGGCCTAGCCTCCCTGCCATGTTACCTGGTTCTAGAAAGCCTACGGATCCATCTTCAAAGCCAGCACCTGTCTGAGTCCATTTTGGGAAAATAGGAACAAAGTCCCTCTCCTGGTGCTTGCCCAGAAAAGACAGCCAAGAAAAACAAAAGCAGGAGCCATAACAAGTGTGCCAAAGAGCAGAGTGATGCTCTGTCATTGTGGGTTAATCACAGAAATGGCTTTCATTTTTGGTTGAAGGCCAGCCACCACTTCTAAGGAAACATAACAGACTCCCATCATCCCAAGCTTGGTGTCCCTAATTCTGCCCCTGTGATAGCCCATGCAACCTGTTACTGTGAGGGCTTCCCAGATGGGAATATCATTCTTTCTATGAAAAGGGACAGGAGTTGTCCCTCTGAGGCACAAGGACATCTCAGCTCAGCTCTCAGGATGTGGCTGAGCACTTGGCATAACCAGCTCTTGCTCAGTCAAAATTTGGACTATGGTGGTATTTTATTTGTACTGAAATGTGATTTTAATTGTATGTTAATAAATAAAGTTGCCCGGGTGTCAGAGCTATTAGAGCCATAGCAAGAGCATGGCGGTGGTAGGGCAACCTTTAATCCCAGCACTTGGTAGGCAGAGCTAGGTAGATCTCTGTGTGTTCAAGGATACAGCCAACATTAAAGACACACGCCTTTAGTCTCAATGCCATGGAAGACCTGGAGGGCTTAACATACAGACAGTGATGAGGCAGTCATGTGTTTGGGTTTACAACCAATGAGAAGGCAGAACAGAAAGTCTATATAAAGAGGAACAACAGGAAGTAGCTCTCTTTCAGAGAGGTCTTTTGGCTGAGGGGACTAGCTGCAGGATAAGGCTCTTAGCTCTGATCTCTTGGCTTTCTTCTTTGCATTGGTTCTGTGTTTCTTATTTAATAAGATGGTTGGTTACATCTACATTTGGTGCCCAACATGACAAGCATCCATTAAAAACTGCTTGACTTGGCTTGGCGACAGGTCTGGTTTCCCGCCTTGGTGGCTAGCTCCCTAGCCCGGGCCTAGGTCAGCTTGGCCTCAGGCTGGACTGACTGTAGCCCAAAGTGGTTAGCTTAAAGCCAGTGCTACAAACAACTCAGGCCTGCCCTGCTGAACAGGGCCCCTGCCTGTAAAGCCAACACACGTGGTCGGAGCTTAAGGAAGACAGAGCCAAGGCTTGACTCTGCTCAAGCGGGAACACGTGGCTGGATTCAAGCTCTTAGGCAGAACTGTGGCTACACTTTCTTGCTCTCTCTCTCTCTTTCTCTCTCTCTCTGGATTCACACCTCGAACACTAGGTGGCTGTTTTGAAATTCCCTCGAATTTCTACTGTTCTATGCAGACTTGGTAAATCACTTAACATATCAGATATTTTTAAAGAAAACTATTTAAAAGAGAATTTTTTTCCACATTAAAAAAAATGGGTTTTATGTGTACATTGGAAGAAAATTGGGCTTTATTTGAAATTTTAGGCAGTCTGACAATGGAACAACTATATGAGAATATTAATGTTGATCGAATTATGCAGTTTATTACTTTTCTTATCCTCATTTTACTATTTAAAAAAATAGTCAATTTAAGTGCCAGGATAAAAGTTTAGAAAAACCTGTTAAACCTGTTAAAATGAATTACAGAGAAATTCAAATTCAGACAGAATTTAACAGTGAAGATGTTTCAAGATTGGATCATAAGGTTACAGAAAGAAAGCCTGTTTTCACACAGTCACCCTTAATTTACCCAGTAACAGTACAGCAGTTGCCTAATCAAATGACTACACAAAATATTTGGGCTCCAATTGAAATGTTAGATTTATGAAGGTTTAAGGAGGCAATAGTATCTTATGGTATGCATTCCCCATATGTAAAGCAAATGTTAAACTCTTGGTCAACATATAATAGGATTATACCACAGGACTGGCAGGTGCTGGCACAGGCTGTTCCGGAACCCAGTCAAAGGCTCCAGTGGCAAATGTGGTTCATGGAAGAGGCTAAAAACATAGAAAAACAATGGAGGGATAAAGGAATTCAAGTTTGCCAGGATCAGCTTATTGGAGAAGGCCATTATGCTTCAGTACAAACACAATGTTTATATGATGCCCAAACCCTAATTCTATGTCTTCCAATGTACACATAAAACCCATTTTTTTAATGTGGAAAAAAATTCTCTTTTAAATAGTTTTCTTTAAAATATCTGATATCTTAATTTACTTACTAAGTCTGCATAGAACAGTGGAAATTCAAGGGAATTTCAAAACAGCCACCTAGTTTCCGAGGTGTGAATCCAGAGAGAGAGAGAGAGAGAGAGAGAGAGAGAGAGAGAGAGAGAGAGAGAGAGAGAGAGAGAGAGAGAGAGAGCAAAGGAGAGAAAGAGCAAGCAAGTGTAGTCACAAGTTCTGGCTAATAGCTTAAATGCATCCATGTGTCCCTACTGGAGCCAAGTCAAGCCTTAGCTCTGGCTTCCTGCCTTCAGCAGGGCAGGCCTGAGTTGTTTGTAGCACTGGCTTTAAGCAAGTAGCTCCAGGTGCAGCTAATCACTTTGGGCTATGGTCAGTCTGGCCTGAGACCAAGCCGACCTGGGCCTGAGCTAGGGAGCTGGACCTGCTGCCAAGCGAAGCCAAGCGGTTTTAAATGGATTCTTGTCACATTGGGTGCCAAATGTAGATGTAACCGCCTTATTAAATAAGATACACAAAGCCAATGTAAAGATGAAAGCACAAGAGGTCAGATCTAAGAGCCTTACCCTTCCTGCTTCAGCTGTCCTCTTCAGCCAAGAGAGCTACTTCCTATGTGTCTGTCTTTATAAAGACTTTCTGTTCTGCCTTCTCTTTGGTTGTAAACCCAACCACATGACCGCCTTGTCACTGACTGTCTGTACAGACCTCTAGGTCTTCTTTGGTTGGTATTGAGATTAAAGGCATGTGTCTCCATGCTTGCTGTATCCTTGAACACACAGATCCGCCTAGCTCTGCCTCCCAAGAGCTAGGATTAAAGGCATGCACCACCACTGCCCAGCTTCTGGGATGGCTTGCTATTAGCTCTGACCCCCAGGCAACTTTATTTATTAACATACAAATAAAATCAGATTTTTAACATACAAATTTATTAATATACAAATAAAATATCACCATAACACTGTGATATTTCAGGCCTGTAATCCAAGAATTTATGGTGGATAGTCAGGAACATAACAGGGCAATGCTCTGTGGGGCTACAGTGTTCTAGTCCACCATAATCAACATAGGAGACCTTGACTCAAAACCGCTTTTCAAAAAGGCTGAAAATGCTGCTGTTGTAGAATTATTATACCTTCATGGCACACCAAGACTTAATGTTGGTTGTGACCCTGTAATGGCCCCCTTGAGCAGGGTGTTAGAGGTCTTTGATGGGAAGGTGGCCATTTGGTTGGTTGTAAATCATGTTTTTCTCACTTGTAATCAGAATATAGATTAACAGCTGATTATTCCAGCTGAACAAAC